ACCCGAATTAACATATCACTGATCTATTTTTTTTCTTACTTGTCTTAAGTCAGTACATCAACATTTTGCGAAGGCATAGTGCCCTTTGACCACCATTGAAGTTTTTCTAAATTAAAATCACTAAGCCCCTACGGGGGCCTCCTCGGACTCCAAATAACATCTTGTCGGAGCCGAGGTTTTTGCACCGTATAAATACGGGAGTTCGGTTCCGCGAAGGCGAAATGCCTACACCGATTGCATCCAACGCTACATTACATTAGTATAATTAACAATCTTTATGTGTTGGAATTCTCCTAAATTAAAATCACTAAGCCCCTACGGGGGCCCCCTCGGACTCCAAATAACATCTCGTCGGAGCCGAGGTTTTTGCACCGTATAATACGGGAGTTGGTTCCGCGAAGGCGAAATGCCTACACCAACTATTATCGCGTGTTAACATCAAGACGGTTCGGCCGACTCCGCTCCCCGCATTGCCGCACTTTGGTGCGGCCGGTGCGGGAAAGGGAGACGGCTTATCACCGTCCGCGCACACTTTACCCAGGGCGACCACCGACCCCCTATCTGGGGAAGTCGGTAACATCTTGGATCATTAAGTTGATTATTTTCTTGCTAATTATACTTTTTACATTTTTGCCATCTTAAATTCCAGGTCATATGGACCATTGTTATTAGTAATTCTGCGTATTTTCATATCCAATTAGAGTCGCCCTGGCACGGCGTGGTAGCTCCAACATCTATTGACTCCGCCGCTTTCATTTGGGAGGACTCTGTGATCGCCCCCCCGTGCCGCGGCCGCCGCCTTTTCGGTGGCGGGCGCGGGGCGGGGGGGCGGTTTTCGGGACCTCCCGACTTATCATTTCATCTTTATATTCTTGCGGTGTCGGTGCTCCCGGCGCCCGGTGACCTTAACCTCCTCTCTGGGTTGGGGATGTCGGACGGCGGGGGGACCCCTCTTGCGGCACCATATATATTTTACTCATGCATATTTATTATCATATATATTTCTCATATCATCTATATAATTATATATTCTTTCCTATCTCGGGGAGTGGAGGTCTGGGTCCATCAAGAAGTTCGCCGATCTCTCTCCCTTCTCTTCCGCGCCTCCCCTGTTCTTCAGGGGTTGGTACGATCCCCCCTCACAAGGGGGATCTAAAGCATTATTTTCAGTGTTTCCTAACTAAAACCAATTCAGCTTTTGGAAAAAAAAAAAAAAGAAAAAAAAAAAAAAAAAAAAAAAAAATAAGGATACTGGCACACCAACAACACGAAAAGTCACTCATAGACAAAAGTTCCGTGCACCCAACCTATACTGTTTAGAAAAAAATGCGGTATATTGAGAAAAAAAAATGCAACGTCGCGTTTGACAGTAAGTATTTTGTTTTATGTAAATATTAGGATACATAGCTGTTTCTAGACTTTGATAATGAAAGAAAGCATCATATTTATTACGAATTTGCTAATTTTTTTATAGTTAACAGTAAAAATAAGGTAAACGCATATTACTACACCGAATTTATAAAATTGCATCTGCCGTGAACGCAAACTATATCTATAGGATAAAGTATTATATCAAATTGTAACATTTTACTTGTTTGGAAAAATATTGTACATTTTTTATTTAGACTACGAGTTTGAAATTCTATTTTAAATAAAATTAATAAATCTTTAATTCTTATTTTTTTCTATTTAAGATAAGTTCTACGGATATAAGAAAGAAATGAGATCATATACAGAGAAGAATAAAAAAAAACGTTTAATGTAATTCATGAGAAGAAGAAATTGACAAGACAAATATGCTAAAAAATAGGAATAGGATACTGTTTCGAAAAAATCGAGACACGAAGTTTGAAAAATAAATACGAAAGTGATCACTCAGATCAAAATTGCATAGCAAAATTTTTGGCCAAATCTCACTTAAAAAAGCGGAGGGTTTTAATAAAGCTAGAGCCCAAGTTACAGAAGGGTCCAATAGATTTTGGTTTAGATAATTAGAGGAATATTTGGACAGAATATACAAAAAAAAATATTTTGAGTATTCCAATAACAAATTTCGTTGAAAAATATAAAAGATCTTTAAAAACAAATCAGGTTTAATATTACACTAAATTATATTTAAAATATAACTCATACATTCCTTTTCTAATCTGGTGAACACAAAATTGTCCACGGGTGGACGCAATGCAGATTTGGTGGATGCAAAGTGGGTAAAACGCCTAATTCTGATGTTTCTATATAACAAATATATAGACTATATAACGAATATATTACATATCCAGTCAGCCCGGTACCATGGCCGGTGTAACCTCGGGAAATATAAGTAGGTGAAAAACCTAACTATCCAAATCTATCGCGTTAATATCCGTCTTATACAATATTACATTTTTTTTTATTGATATCAGTATTAAAATATTTATATAACATTCATCTCATAATATTAATATGCATCTTCAAACTTGCCAACTGCACTAAATGTACACGAACAGGCGTAATGGACCTACTTATCTACTTCTTACAATAATTAATTATTTTTAAAGATAAATAGACATATCAATAAAGAAAATGGATTTCTGCAAACGTTACATTTCGTCAGTTGCATTGTATAAAAATTATGAAGGTTAATTTTTAGAACATGATTGAAGCCCATTCCAAACCCTTTTTTACGTCAATAATGCCTGTTCTTATCCTATGAACATTAATTTCAAAAATGTAAATAGTCTGTCTGACGTTGAATAATGACCCTGCTCTGTTGAGAGATTTGTGGCAGACTGAAGCTATTGAAATCTCGGCTTTGCATTCATCATTTCCTTTCTGGATTTGTCTTACCATTCGATAAACAATATGTGAGAGAATATAAAAAATGTATTAAAAATTTAATATTTTTACTATTTCAAATACCTAGTTGAAAATAAATAAAACTTATTTTAAACGGATGTAACGCGTGTACCTATATTTTATTAATTTTCTTACACGTTCCAAATCCTATATACTTTAACATTAATAAAATGAAGTCGATGGCGTAGTGGTTATCATGTTCAATCTGCGATGCGAAAGATAAACAACACACACTTACACAAATTTGAATGATAAATTTTATTGTATTTTTTTATCATTTAATATATTTCAACTGACATATGAACAAAATATTTTTTTTAATTATTTGTTGTAATTGTAATTTTTTTTTTTTCATTATAATCTAAATAATAATTTTGCACGCCAGGTGGTGAAATACGGAATAAGTTTGACATTAATTGTATATCATCTCTATGTATTACTTGTATTTGCAAATAAATGTCTCGATTCGATTTGATATGATTTGATTTGAAAGATCAAAAGGTGAAAAGGGTGAAAAGATCAAAATGAGTAACCAAAGATTTATTAAATCAAACACCCCCGTGTTACGGTAGGCCTTTTACGTCCCATCTGCGGGGCACGCCGACCCAATGCGGATTGGAGGATATTAACGATTGCAAATGCAGCCGGGACCAACGGCTCAACATAAAATATATCCTATTATTTTAATTACTAATGTCCGATATAATACAATTTATTACAAACGAAATTGATCAAGTGTCAAAAAATACAAATTTTATTCATGCAAATTATAAATATTAAATAGAAATATTTTTGGGTGAAATAGTTGTATATTGTATTAGCTTTTTTTTCTAAACTCGATTATTTATTATTGAAATGTATAAAAATATCATGTACTTAGCAATAAATTCTGTAAAGTTGTGAAATATTTTATGCCTGTTGTTCTTACATATATTCATGACATAACTATTGTTTTATTAATTGTTAAATTTTATACTCATGTTTATTTTACTGGAAGTTTGTTTTTTGCTGTGCAATTATAAAAAAACATGGTTGACTGAAAATTCTAATAAATCTATATACATAAAAGCGAAAGGTCAGTCACTCACTCACTTACTCTCATCAAGAAATCTCAGAAACTACAAGTGCTAGGAGTTTAAAATTTTGCACGCGGGTTCTTTTTAGGACGTAGGTGCTCACTAAGACGGGATTTTACGAAATACGACCCCAAGGGAGTAAATTAGGGGATGAAAGTTTTTATGGAATTTTCTTATTTCTTGAATTAAAAATAGACCACTCGGGCGAAGCCGCTGTCGGAAGGCTAGTTTTGTATAAAAACAAACACTTTGTTGTCGAGACTGCAATTGTGGAGATTATACAGTTCACGCTTTTTGTATAATTAACTGATATTATCGTAACATAGTGTTGATAAATCTAGAAAGAACAAATTGCGTGATTTGTCATCATCATTAATATTAGTGTCCCGCTTTCTAGGGCATAGTTCTTCCCTATGGATGGAATTGAATCGCATAAGCTGTAAACATTTACGCAGGCCCACTGATTTGTAGGGTGTTCACAAGTGCAGATACAGCCAGGACCAACGGCTTAACGTGCCTTCTGAATCATGAGGAGCTAGAGATAATACATTTTTGGTCACACATTCTATTAGCGGCCCTTGCAAATTTTGCTTGACTTCCGCATCGCAGGATGAACTGCATACTATACCATCGACTTCTCGATCCCCGAATTCTGATAGGTTTATTAGCGCTAGAACTTTAAAAAACAAAGACGTTATTGGACGGCACTAACTTACATTAGCTTAGCTTTAGATATACATTTTTTTACTTACTATTCAATCAAATGACAAGTTCACTATTTATATGTAGACATAATTTTGTTAAGGTTCCTTCGTAAGTACTAATCTCTCTGACCTTTACCGATAATTCGCTTATCCTCATTCACAAGAGGTCATTTACTTGGTAAGACTTACCTACGTAGGAAAAAGAAATCATAAACAATATCTTATAGGATGAAAAAGCAATAAAAGTCCATCAAAATGACGGTTTTTGTTTTAATTAAGGAAGTTAGCTGTTATTTGCTTTGTAATGTAAGTGATGTGAGTACCTAAGAGTGGAAACGCTTTTTGTTCTGAACCCTTCTGAACCCTTGATTCGCTAAATTATAACGTCATAAAAGATATATATATTTTTTACTGTTGCTGTCTAATATAATCTATGGTCTATAACAGGTCAATGCTAAATATAGATCAGCCGCCGCGCGTGGAAGTGAAACATGAGACAAGGAAAGAATTTCCTAAGGTAAGTTCGCATCCTTTCATCTTTCAATTTATTCAATGCTAAAAAGTATATAAGAAAAAGTAAATATTTCTGGCAAGGAAATAATTTTTATATTTTTCAATATTTTCACCATGTTAGCTTAATTTATAATTATTATTTTTATCAAGAAAAAAACAAATGTCTCTATTAATGTAAAATGAATTTTCATAAATTTGTGAACAAGAAACGTAAATAACTGTAATGACTTATAACGTTTTTTTCTATCCTAGAGCCCCGAAATGTATTAGATACTGCCACGCGGCAAAGTGTAAATGAATTTAACAAATCAATAAATATTATTAAAAATGAAATAAGTAATTAGAATAGTTACCCAAAATAATGACATCAATTTTCTTTTATTTATATGAGATAAAATATTGGTAATAAAGAACAACCCAATTTTACCTATGCACTAGCTTACAATAAAATTAATAAAGTAACAATTTCAGAGTATACCCCCTCACATTGGAATTGGCACTCCTGAAGATACGTTGCAATCCTGCTTTGGCTTGCTACCTAAACCACCCTATAAGGACGTGATCAAATACAACCTGAATGCTAACAAGGTAATAATCATTTTTTTATCATATAAATCTTAGAATTAAACGAACACGAAAACAAACTATTCAGATTACTTAGTTTCAAACGTGATTTGCAAATTTTTACCACTTCTTTAGAAATATACCGATCAAATAAAAAAGGTCCTATTTTGAAGACAAAAAACTTTAATTAAAAATCACTGAAAACAACATTCAAGTAGGTTTAACGCAACTACATTCGAAGTCCAATAATCGAACGTGCTCTACGAGTAAGTTCGCCACCTGACAATGCGTCCCTTAGTATCTCATTCCTCTCAGGTTGTTCTCAAGTCAATTAAAGTTGCACCAGACGCAGACGTTGTGTCGAGACGCTCCTAGTTCTATCTCGAAGTCGGATCGTAGCAAATTCACAATACACACAAGAAATCTCACTTGAAATATTTAAACATTTAACTTGGCGAGTGCAGATTTGTTTGCACACTCTGAAAACTGCCTTTTGTCGGGGCGGTCAAAAGTTTTAAATGTGCTATTCCGTCTGCCTGCACTGGAGAACGAATAAAACTCTGAGCGTTTTCTAAAAGAAAGTTATGACAGTTTAATCGAGATACTGATTATATTTTAAATCAAACGGAAGAAAATAAAAATTCATCTAATGTGTATCACTTCGACGGCACGTTACAAACACCATCCGGTATTTATATACCATTTATAGGTATATAATATAGATGGTTTACAAATACCAATATACAAATATTATCTAGAATACCATAAAATTGACAATAAAATATTAGCAAATTAACACGATTTTTTAGCCAAGTAACTCGAACGACGATTTTATAGTGTCACCATCTCTGACGGTTCGATTCCCAGTCTTATAAAGTTCTATACTACAAAGGCTTTAGCTACTACAATTGGGATTTGCGCAATGTACGAGATGTTATATAATATTTATTTATATATTGGCTAATTTATCTAAATCTATAAAAAATCATTGTAATAATGAGAATAGGTAAGCTTACAACATGTTTTAATATAATAACAGTTCCTCCGGTATCTCTGTGAATTGGACTGGATACATCCAGAAGACAACGGTCGCAAGTTCGTGCTATCGTACAGTCTCGCCGATGGCACGATCAAGATCGGCGAAATCCCCAGGCGCAACTCTGGCATCCGCGAGGGCAAGTTTCTCAAGCCAATGAAGCTGCAAACTCCGGATTCAGATCCTAACTTCCCAACTTACTTCACGCCTGACAAATTCTACATTGGTGAGAAATTTTGCAGTCTCCCGTCTGCGATTTCGAGTACTTTCTGCGAAGAAGTAAATGTATGTTTTTTAATTAAGCCCCTCTGTACCTCCACTTACGTTCCTATACAAATATGTAAACAAATATGTATAGACGCGCTCGCTTGATTTCATACATTACATTAAGTGACAGAAACAACACAAATGCAGTTATAAAAAAATCCGTTGCATGCTTTAGGTTATACTAAAACCTATTTTTTAATATGGTCGTACAAAGGCGGACTTAATGCCTTAGGCATTCTCTGCCAGTCAACCTTTAGGTGATGTGGAGACTAAAATAAACGATAAAAGCAGGTGCATATGTAATCATTGAGAGAAAAAAATATGTATATTAAAAATACGTATAACACAAACATACATACTATATATAACATAATAATATATAATATAATAAATATAAATACAAATAAAATCGATCCAAAAACCTTATTTAGAGTAAATTTTGAGACTTTTTTATCAAGCCAGTTATTGAAAATGTTTCTGTTCTTAGTAAACAATTGATCATATGTTTAATTTATATAAATAATTTTTTTGCAAATATTACAGCCTTAGGATAAAATTGGTTTAAACTTGGTAACTACGTCGTAACCTTAGAATAAAATTGGTTTAAACGTGGCACAACTTCGCCTTAAAATAAAAATTTTCTTCATTCAAAAAGCTAACCAAAAGCCCTTTTTTATCGTCTAACATTGGTTACCCTTGCAGGAAATCACATAGATTGATTGCGACTATTATATTTATGTACTTTAATCCGCGTTTATTAAAACTACAATTAATATAAAATAACACATAATACTCGCGATATCACCGTCGTCCAGAGCCTAAACCGTAGTAATAGCAAAAACAAGAAAGCGAGAAAAACGCGCGTAAAGTTTATATTTTGTGTAGGTATATTTAACGTTAGAATACTAAAATAATTCACAAATTCCAGGCTGGAATCGTGAAAAATAAAATAGTTAGAGGCATTATAATTTTTTAACTCCTATAACTGCTTCTAGATTTTTAGCTAAATATTTTTTTTAACTTTTTAAAATGCGGTAAAGTGAGCTGTTACTGTATATTCAACAGTTTGGTATTATATTAAATAAGTTTTAAAAATTCTTACTGCGTATTATGTAGATTTATCTCGTATTACCCTAGCGTATATTCAGAAAAAAGAAATACTGTTGCTGTTTTTAGAAAAAAAAATAGGTTAGGTTGTAGGGTTCGAATTGGGCTTTCAGACGAAATGAAAAACTCAAAAACACACATTTTGCTGTTACTGCGGTTTAGGCGCGAGAGAGCAGATCTGCGCTTGAAATCATATGAATAAGGTTTATAAAGAGAAAATAATTTGGTTATGTTGCTTAAAATGTCCATTTACATTTTTATGACGAGTATATGTACTCAATAATATTGTTTTGATAATATTGATTTAGAACCTATTTTTTACACAATAAGAACTATATTTTGAACTTTGGACAGGGGAGCAAGTATCTAAATAATTATATTTTTTCAGTATCTTCCAAGGTTTTTTGTATTTTCTTTGTCCAGGGGCAATTGTTCCTGTATTCAAGCACCGGTTTAAGATCATAGGATGTGACTTGTTTGTTTACCGGTACATGAGCGCCAATCCTGAAAAGTTCCCGCAAGAGGTGATCGACAATACGCGAAACTACCACATGCGCGAGGGAAATCTCAAGGACGAACTGCTCGTAAGAATTAATTATGTTGATACGATACCCATTCAATTTCAACTAATTCATATAGCGTAGGTCATGAGCTTTCGAATAACGCCTGAACGTATATATCGGGCCTAAAATATTATTTGAAATGGTACCACTCGGTTCATTGTGGTAACGACACCAAAGAAATCCTAAAGTCAGTCTCAAAGAAGTTTTGCCGACTGCTGTTGGTGGATTTTTACCTTTGCAGGTTGAGAAGCACATTAACACATTTTAAACTGTTCTTCATCTTTCAAATCTGGACGGATGAATAGTTTTAATATTTGAATTTCCTTCCGTTTACATAAACCTAAAATATTTTTGCTCATTATCAGGAAGCTATCCGTGAAGAACAAGCGGCAGAGACACGTGCTCAACTCGCTAAGATTGGTCAAGCGGCAGTCGCGGAACCTAACGCAATGGAACGATGTCTGGCAGCTCTGGATGTGGTCGAAGGCAGTGCCACTCCACCCAGACCTCCTACTCCTCCTATGACCACGGACAGGATATCTTACGATGATTCTTTGCGTATTACCAAACTTAGGTAGTATTAGATATTTTTCTTAACACTTTTTATAATCATACTTAATATCGAGCCAGGTAATATACCCGTAATAATTAACCCACGTTCAACTACGCTTGTCAAATATTCAGTTTGGGATTCAATAAACACCATTAATTATTTTCGGTTTTTACTCAATTCTAGCTACATTTGTTCTATTTTATCTGATTTCAAAAGTCAAGTCAAAATAATCTTTATTCAAATAGACTTCTTAAAAGTACTTTTGAATGGTCCAACATTTTTTCCCTACCACTCGTTCAGGACGTCTTTTGGCTGATAAGAAGAACGAGCAAGAAACTCACCTAGTAGCTGTAATAAGAGTCATGACATTTACAAAAACAAAACATAATATTCTTGAGACTCAGTTGTAAAATGATGTTAATCAACTAATAAAGGTTTCTGAATTCAGTATTTAAGGTGAAGCACTTCTTAAACAGAATTTTAACGTCACTGAAACAGGTTTCCTTTCTGATTTTAGTTTTTTTTAATGATCACTTGATAGCAGGTTTTAAAACACCGATTCCCTTCAAACTGTCGTATAAAGTATTAATCTATTTTGTTCTCAGTAAACCGACATGCGATAACGTGACGCCACTAAAAGGCATATTAAAGTCGGGCGCGCCGAAAGACGACCACCAGAAGGTGGTGTGCTTCAGTGGACCGGCGCCGGATGAGCATCGCGAGAAACCCGCACCGGCCACGTATCCGCCCGGCCAACAGCCGCATTACAACGAGGTCGATGATTTCTGCGACCGATTCAAGGAAGCGGTGAGTAATGTGGACCATTGAGGATATTTAAAAAAGTTCGATTACGACTCTGGTGTAAACTAATACTACAAGGTTGTGATAATTCATGTAGATACAAAGGAGTACTTATACGTTTTCCGTATTATTTCATCAGTATTCCATAGGTGACCAGAATAGTTTAGATTAAAGTATATTGTATTGTAGCTAAACTAAGTATGGCATATAGATTTCTTAATGAGTTTTATGTAAAGCTTTATTAATTGGTTATTATCATTATGTAAATAATATATCGTTAGTTAGGTACTTTGGTGTTAAAGTATGAATAATGTATTTAAGTGTTCATTAAAATTTTATCGGAAGTAAGATATTGTGTTATTATTTCTCACATTATAATAGGGATGATGACTATTTTTTGTTTGTTTGTCCGTCAGGTAGTTAGAGTGTTAAAAAATATTAAACACGTATTATTTTCGTAATCATATAATTACGGCGTTACATGGAATAGAAATTTCGCATGACGTCACGTTAGGGTACGTTTTCTACTCAACTTTGACGTAGCGTGCCCCCACTCCTCAACTTTAATGCCTGTTATCTAAGCTATTTCTTGTTAAATTGAAGTAAAAAAAATACGTTTCTAATATTTTTCTATTATCTGACTGACGGACTAAATAGAATTACATTTTTTTACCCAGTCATCATCCCTATTGAAGGTGCTTTGGACTTATAACAAATCATTCCCTCTACGACACAAATAATATATAAAAAGAGGACGTCAAGGTGAGTTTTCAAATTATTTATTCTCGTAACTAGAAAGACTGCAGCTGCAAAGTAAGCTCGAATGACCAGAACTAGGATTTATGTTATAATTTTGGTACATAGGATGCAGAAGAGCGAGCGATCCGGCGTGCACAAGATATATGTCCTTACGAGATAGTGCCGAGCGCAAAGCAAACGGTTGGCGTCAGTGAGCAACCAGAAGAAAAGTCAAAATTGCCCGGCTACCTAGGTACCTACGGTGTGGACTGCAAACAGGTAAAATAATATATAAACCTTGTTTAATCAATCGTGTTTCTTCTGAGTTATAACAAGAAGTTTGTATTCACAATGCCTTATTGATAAATTCGAACCCAAACTTTTCAAGCGCTTGTTATAGTTTCGCTATTAGTGAGTGAAATCTATCCACCCGAAAAAATATTGGCGAAGCTTATGCATTTTTCTTTAAAGGAATTTTAATAAGAAATGCTTCCTGTGCGTATATGTATTGTATAAAAACGTAAATATTTTCCCGTATATTATTAAGTCTTAATGAATGTAGAACATACATATTTTTCCCTACTATCTCAGATACCGGAATATATGAAGTTACCGCAAGACGCTTATGAACGCGCGAAGAAACTTCGTCGCGACGTTCCTGAGATATCACCGGCTGCGGTCAGAATTGCGGACCATCCTCGTGTACCGCCCCCCTCGGTGGAAACATGCGTTCATCCCCCGCCAGAGGCCACTGGCCCTTGCGCCCAAACTAAGGAAGAAGATGTGGCCTTCACATGCCCACACGTTGAGCCAAAGTTGCCATGCTGTAACCCTGACAAGACAGAGTAATAACCGAACAAAACATGACCTTAAAAGAACTACGTGATACCTTAATGCCTATAATTACAAAATATGTCTAGTGTTAGGTTTCATGACTGATAAATGTGGAACTATGGCACCCTTGAAATTAACGTAGGTAATTAAAATAACCAGAATAGCGGCCGCCTAGCTCTTGCTATAACTCTTGCCATAGCTTAAAAAATTGATTTAATCAATGAATATATTTATATTCTTTTATAATGTTTTATTATTTACGTAATTTAATGGTTTATTGTAGTTTTCTGAACTATATAAAATTTGACTAAATGAAAGATGCTCAATAAATGAAATTTAGACAAACAAAACTATTTCGAAAATTTAATATAGGTACTAAAACGTTTAAAATATATTTAATAAAAACATATCGTTATAAAACGTTCTTATAGCTACGTAATTCTAGCGAGAGTTAGAGTGGATGGTAGGAAAATTGCCACATAATCTTCCAACATTAATAGGGATGACTGGGTTAAAAAAATATCTATTTAGTCCATCAGTCAGATAATAGAAAAATATTAGATACTTATTTTTTTTTCTTTAATATAATAAAAAATGGCTTAGATAATTGGGATTAAAGTTGAGGAGTGGGGGCTTGTTATGTCCCAACTATGTAGGTAGTCGCTTGACGTTACCTTTTTAAATGTAAAAAGGTAACGTCAAGCTATATTTCAAGTCAATTTATCGGCGCAATTTATTGATTACGCAAAAAATACGTGTTTAATATTCTTCAATAATTCTACCTGACGGACAAAGAAACAAAAATTAGTCATCATCTCTATTATTCATTTGCTTTATTTTTATTTTTTTAAAACTATAGATTGCTTTAGCAAACAACCTTTAACAAAAGAATAACAATGCAATAAAAACTAAAGTCTTAATCACCAACACGATTAGGTATTTATGAAAAGATTCTATTCTATTCCATATATTATAAACACTACGGTTTTATGTACACAATACGGTCGCACGTCACGCTACTTACCACCACCGTATGCAGACCTCTTATAGTAGGGAAGTTTTTTACGTAGCGCGGCCGGTACAAAGTCCACTAATATGTATAGTCTGGCTTGCAGCCGTGTGTACCTATGCCATACATATTAACGTTAAAATGACAACCAGTTAATTGTTTTCTTGGTAGTTAGTAATAAATTACAACGTAATTGCCTGCCTGTGTCTTTGTTTATTTACAATTTATTCATTAAAAATAAAACTATTATTTTAAGATGTGGGAACATTGATGATCATTTAGATATTTTTAAGCACAGTTAATGTTCACGTCATGTTACCTTGATGGTAAATAGAACAACTATTGCTGATCTTCCTTATGAACTCATTTAATAGATATTAAGGAAGACTATGGTCTTGAATACTAATGCGTAGGTATAATTGAAATAAAATTTAGGTACGTATCTATCGGTCTCACTGATGCAAATAACTAGCTTTCCGCCAGCGGCTTCGCTCGCGTGGTCCTGTATTATACATTCCTTTTGAATCACCTTATCTATTAAAAGAAACCGCGGCAATATCCGTTGCGTAGTTTTAAAGATCTAAGCATACATAGAGACAGATGATAGAAAGTGAATTGCTTTATACTATGTGTTGATGTTTTAATAACACAACGAATGATACACATTATGATAAGAACTATTACGCCAAAATTATTAAATTATTATCAATGGGGTGCCTATAAAATGGGGAGTAATTATAGATGGCGCTATTGGTACCAACGACAATTAACACGTTAAATATGTTTTAAAATTGAAACACCATTATTTTATAAACCATACCATGTATTTAGGTATAAATGAACCAGTTCAAACTTTACTGAATTAGATATTTGCCAAATTTTAAGAATAATATGTACATAACTACATTTTTAAAAAGCATATCTAAAACTACCAAAGAAACAAAAGAGAACGACACAAAATCAACGACGTCTAAAATGAGATAAAGAGAGAATTAAAAACCATATTTAATTAATAAGTAACTCTCAAATCATTATTATTATTGTAAAACTCCCTAGTGCCTCAGGTACAAACTGGCTCGCATATTAATCAACATCTTTTTTTATCTTTTATTATAAAAAAAGATGTTGATTAATATGCGAGAGAGTAAGTGTAGATAACTACAAATTTCCGCATTTTTCATTTTGTTCTCATAAGAGAAGAAATGAAAAATGCGGAAATTTAGAGAAAACTTTGTACCGGCAGAATATTATAACTTCGTATTTTTAGATCTTTCAGTATCATTATAAAGGTATGATAGTTTTGTTTTCGTCCCGCACTGTTTTAGCAACTTATTTGGCCGATTTTCCTTTATACAAAACCAATTGACAGATTGAGTTTTGATTTCTTCTTCGCTTCTTTGACTTCAATTTCTTTTGTCACGTTAAATTTGGTTTTGGATTCACTTATCACATATTTTTCTTTAAACCCTGTTTCAAAATAATATTTTGCACAATATTAATTTTCAAATGATCAAATAAAATAACACAGTAAACAACAAATACTTTAATATCTCTCATTTTTATACAACATTTGACATAAATAATACTCAAGATCCAAAATCATTTATAATGCACCTAAAAACTTGTAACCAGTTGGTAATAGCAGTCTTACATTACTTTTAAACAAACACTTGAAATAAAGTTTTAGGTTTCGCAATTAATAATACCTATAGTTAATAGTCAAAGCCTTTATGTAGAAATGTCATTATTTCCAAACTAGCACTTTTTTATGTGAGGTGATGTGATTTAAAGTTAGAAAGTCAGACTCTGTGGCTCAAAGCACTGATTGATCTGTCAATTGAATGTCATAATCACTCGAGAAAAGAGTGAGATATGCACATATAATACTTTACTCTCTGTCTCGCTCTCACCTGTGTCTCGAGTTTCTGTCCATTCCTAGACTAATCCTGATTGGTGTGCTGATAGTTAGATAGGCTGACAAATCAATCAGGTATTAATTTTGACCGGAATGGACAATCCGCACTTCAGTTAGGCAGCAAAATCGACTTTGACCATTAAAATCTATAAAACTATTTCACACAAATATATAACAAGGAATGTTTTTTACATTTTATTAAAAAAAATATTGTACAAATTCAAACATTACATAGGTACAGTTAATACCATAATCATCAAAGCGCCTAAGGTGATAAAAGAGACGTCTTCTTCTTTTTTTTTAAATTCATGGCCTATTTGCGTTTACCCAATTCCACCTATGTCACGTTTATGGTCTATACACGTAAAGAAACAATAATAAAATATGACAATTTTGAATTTTGGGGTAATAGATAAAACAATAAAAGATAATACAATTAGAATGTATATAGAAAAAAATATATATTTATAAATTAAGACTACTATTGATTGCTAGTCGTTTAGATAAAATTTTGAATGGGCTGGGTTTTTCCATACTCAAAATACATTTTATATTTGTTGGACGAAAGTAAAGAAGTTCTTTCGATGCACTTGTCATCTGTCTGTCATTGACTCGAATTGAGTCAAATTGGAAACAAGTTATTGGTTAGTAAATAAATTTGAAGAATTGATGCCATCATATCTTGATAACTTTAACTTTAGAAAAACTTCTATACTTGACAGAGTTTTGATCATCGTGGGCGCTACGATAATTATGTCGCTGACAGTACCTAATAAATTATTAGAATAAATAACAATGACTTCATCATGCATGACACTCTGGACTTTATGAATTACCTATATGTGTAATCATTTCAATGTAAAAGCAACGCGTGTTAGCCTTTAGTCTACGACCTTAAAACTTATTACAAATTTCAATTACGAAATTTCACATCAGTTTCGACTTTTTAAAATTCCTTCTCTTTTTGTATTACAATTTAGTCGACTATCAATAAATAAAACTATTGAAATTAATGACTTTCGTTAATTCTTTCAATATTATCGGTTAAAATCAGTACCCTTAATACAAACATTTATAATAAAACACATTACTGAATATAGGTAACTAAATGAAATCTCCATTGTCCATATAGCAACATATCAAACAAATCCGAAAATTATTTACATTATACGTCAAATAAAATAAATCACACAGGAGAGTAACAAAAGACATGTCACGGAATTGTTTACATTGTTTCTTTATATAGAAAATACAGCTATCCAAATCTCATTAAATATACAAACGTCCTCAAATATAAAATATATACAAAAACTACGTAAGATATATAATCACAAGAACTATCACAGCCAAAGTAACGAACATACCACCAAAGAGAACATGTTTATCCTGTGACACTCTCCGCTCGATGAGAGAGATAGTTGCATTCGAGAGTCCAAGGGTATTGGCCAGGTCGATGAGTTTCCTGTGGGCACCCTTCAATGTCTCCCGGTTGTAGCGCAAAGTCTCCAAGATGCTTGAGCCTGACAACAAGAAGAATTTATTTCGATTATCCCGAGAGTTGCAAAATAAGGGGCAGCAGTAAGGGGGCAGCTTACTGCGTGCAGTCTAGACATTCACTGACCGAGCTGTCAAATTCAATCGCTAGGAAACTATCGAATATAACTATTCTGACAATTCTACTGGGTACGTGCCAAACAAATAAAAATATATTCACAAATACGATCGCTATAAGTTAGCGACCGACTTTGGTTAATTAATTATGTGAAAAATTAACTACAAGAGCGTGCCTCATATGTTTGAATTGCCTATTGCTATCACATTTGATACCAATTGTCATACTAATCTCGACTGGCCTCCGATTCGCCCGTAAACTCTTATCAGATAATTGTGATCATTTAAGATGTTATCTGACTGTGACTGTATAAGAATAAGAATTATGAAGAAGAATTAATTATAGCATTCTAATATGTGGGGAAAACTACTTTTAAACGGTTTCACCGAATGTATTTAAGAAAAATTATAATTTTTTCAAATGTTTTGGATATACAAGTTCCGTGTTCACTAGAATCCGAAACGTCTGATTAATGTTATATTTTATCAAAAATACACGCGATATATAAGTAGCTTGGTGGCGTAGAGGATAAGCGCCGCGGCCCGTGATCGTTGTTATTAAGCAACTTTCGCAAGGGATGGGTGACCAAAAAATTATTATCCCGAGCTACTTCGTGCTTCGGAAGGCACGTTAAGACGTTGGTCCCGGTTGCATTTGCAGTCGTTAATACCCTCCAATCCGCATTGGGCCAGCGTTGAGGGTCATGGCCAATCCTCCTTAACCATCGGGACGTAAAAGGGATGATAATGATGACGCGATATATACTTTTTAAAAAGAACCGACTTCATACTTTAAAAAATGATAAATAAATACATATTAAAAAGCGACTTATTTAAGAAAATGCAATATGAAGTTGGTCGTACTTCTTTTAAGATACATAAAAAGACATACGTCACCGTCGAACATATAACTCCTCCTCTTGGATTTTGAAGTCAGTTAATAAAAAGTGTTTTATAGTAATTTAATTTAATGAAGTGTGCGGGAAAATATAAGAAAACAGTATCATCATTGTTATTTGTAGTTCCAATAAGTAATTATTTATAATTTCATACTATCTTCGAGTATTGCGTGACTAGTTAGTTAACTTATATATAGTGGGAGCGAAAAACAATTGAGATGAACTATTAAAACAACGTGTTTGTTGTAACTATAAGTACCTTAATATCTAGCAATCTAATAAGAAAATGGTCATATGTAAAATAAGTACCTATGTAGGTACATACAGATGCATTTTTTTATATTGTGTATATATCCGATATACCTTCAAAGCCGAGTGGTTAGCACACCGGTTTCAAGATGTCGCCAATTCGCTATCGCTGAGGTCCCGGGTTCGATTTAGAAAATTAACTTTCTAAATTGTCTCGGGTCTGGGTGTTGTGTTACCTTCGTTGTCTCAGATACTACATAACACGGGGGCTTTAGCTACTCATCTTGGAATCTGAGCAATGTATGTACGTTTCTATCGCTAGAATCATTATACTTCGTCAGCACTAGCACAAAAAATAAACATATTTTAAACGTCAAGTCACTCAAAAGTACTTACATATATAGAAAATTATAAATCTATAATGATCTAGACACTAATATTGCAAAAGGTAATGTAAAGTTTTTACTTTTTTGTAGGGGGTAGTCTTTGGAATTCTTTCATCTTCGTAAAGCTACATCATACGCGGGTGACATACGCTGTAGGAAAATTAGGCTATAATTTACTAAGGCGAAATCGCGACAGAGAATAGACAGCTTTGTCCTTCGCTGGACAAAGGTCTCCCGCAAAAAAATAGCGACATCGATCGGTTACGCGCGGTCCTGTGTTCAGTGTTCGACTGCATCATGTGACCAAGCGCTTGTGACAGTCGAGAAACTACGTTTTTGATTTGATAATGGTACTATTAAACATTTGATTGTTTTTTTGCATTGAATAGGCTCGGAAACTACTGTACCTAATTCAAAAATTCTCTCACTATAATTTACACGAGCGAAGTCGAAAAACAGCTAATAATAAATGCTCAAATTAATTTCTAGCGATCCTTCAACAATTCGTCGCACTTCAATCAATTAATTCAAATTCTTAATGAATTATACACATAAGCACTCTCATGAAAGATACTACAATCGGTCATGAATTATGCAATCCATTAGTACCTAAAAACTATTTAATAAATCTCATTTCAGTGTTTCTAAAATATACAGATAAGGCAGAGAATGTGTGTATAAAAAAGGATAATACAAAACAACAAAAATCTAATTTTCAACAAATTTACAAGAAGGATCTGTTTAAAATAAAGAAAAAGAGAGCAACAAAATAAGAAGGTTCGTTGTCCCTACATTTGTTTGCTCACTTAATAATTCGGTTGGTTAGATAAGGTTCTTGCGTTTAATTTAAACCCTTCTAAAATTACAACGAATTTCCTATTGCCAAATATTTATTTAACTCCACTGGGTAATTAATATAAATTCGTCGCGGTACCCGAATCGGCGACTGCTATAGCAGAAAAAATGAAGCGACCGACCCTGGCAATATTCAATGCTATGACTTCTTACTATATCAACTTCGATATCATGCGAACGTATCCATATGAAGTGAATAAAGTTTTTATTTGGAAAGTGCGTTTTGCTGACCTGTCTCAACACCTCCATGATGTGGTGAGTACAAACACTAATAAAATCTACTTTATTTTTGTTTATATTATTATTTATAATGATTTCATTTTAATTAATAAACTGGGAAAGCACTTTAGCACGTCGAGTTTTATTTTTTAACGCAAACAAAATCGGAACCGGTCCTGAGTATAGAGCAGCACAATGCATTTCGAAACGCGCACGTATGAATTGAAGGCTGTCAGTACACGGAAATTCATGTTAACTGAATGTAAATGTTAAAAAAGAAGAGCGGTTACTACCGTTGGAAACTTAAATGTTTTGAGAGTATTACAATACAGCCACGTAGTTAGATCGATCGTTTGCTACAAGATACAGAGGCGTAATGAGAAGGCAACGCTGCGAGTGACGTCACGGTCACGTTCTCTCGAATACGAGTTTGGCTACTTTGATATGATATGATTATAGACATCGGACGGACGGGCCTTGTCGGGTCCGAAGGTTGCGTGCCTGTCCAATTGCAACTAAGCAAATGACCAAGTGAATATTTTGCAACACTAAAATTTGTAAACAGTAGTCACGTTTAGTGGAGGATATACATTTTTAGTAATACAGCAACGATTCCCAAAAGTCTATAAAAAGTAATCGGCGCATATACCTAAATCTTAAGACGTACGTTTACGATCGACGGTCGGTCCCTTACTTTACTAACTTTGGTCTATACCACTTAGTGCTATCTGAAGTCGGGATGAAAGTTTTATTAAGAAAGATCGTTTCTTCTCCAAAGTGAAACTATTTTGACCACGACAAAATGAACGACTTAGTTACACTTTATTAAGATATTTGAATAAAAGTTTATCCTTTCTATTTGATAGTTTTGTTGCACGTATTGGTTCAAAAGTGTCGACAAAGTCAACGGAACGATTCGAAAAAGTTTTTTCTATTATCTCTAGATGATTGTGCTCATATTTCATTACAATTTTTATATTATATATGTATGTCATTGTTATTTTTCTTATTATTGTTGAATAATTTAAAAAAATCTAAGAAAAAAGATTGGTAACTTTTCTTTCATTATGTAATTCTTTTATTTATATATTTATTTTTTAATATTTTTTTTTTATCACCATGTATATGAAACATTAAGTAAAAATATTTATAAAAGAAATTATATTTAGAACGAAAAGCCTGAAATTTTAATTTGTTTGCACGGCGTAACCACGGAGAAATCAGTGAACATACCTAACTTGCATAAAAAAAAATATATATTATCTATAGTTCAATAGAAACAGAGAAACCTGAGGACAACTGAAGTAGTACCTCGTGTGTTCATAAGTTTAGAGACGAAATAAAATTTGCGAAACTTTTTAATAATTGACTTATATTTATAAAATTTTCAGTAACCATTAAATAGACAATAATCAACAATTAAATATGTATTTTATTAAAATTTACCGCCCTTAATTTTAATACAGGCCCTTAGACGATTTGGCCAGTTATCAATGGCGGCACAAATCTTTTCTAGCGGAATTCGCTTTGCTCCTCGAACAAGGGTTCGCTTAAGTGACTCCAAGTTTGGGTGGGACTTTCGGCAGGCCCTGATCTCTAATTCAGTTCATAAAGAATAATCCAGCGGGTCGAGGTTGAGGCAGGAGAAAGGCCACTTGTCGACCGCGATGAAGGCCGGCACATTCTCCCTCAACCAAGCTTGGGTGCTTCTTGCCTTATAAAATGGCGCAGAGTCTTACTGAAAAACCCTATACATATTGTGAAATAACGTATCAGACAGGGGTTTCACCACGGTCTCTAATATGTCACTCTTTCATCTTGACACCTTGTTAGCAGAAATGCAGCGGAATGACATCTTCATACGAACTCTTCATGGCGGGGAGTTTCGTATGAAGGTGTCACTCATCACACTAGCACCACACTAGCCGGATGATGAGTGCGCGAGACATTTCGTGCAGAAGCTGGCACATCCTTGCTACTTTTAACGTACGCTTTATTCTTTTGTCGGTGAAACTTTTCTTCGACAGTAAAAATTTTCTTGTCGGTGAAGAGCATCTTCCTGGCATCATATCTCCTCAGGAGTAATGGCAACATTCGCGTCTTAACTTACGATGACGATCGTTTAAAAAGTGAACTTTTCTACGGCTATAGGCCTTTTCACCTTAATATCATATTTCAGTTTTATGTTCACTGAAAAGCGCGAAATATTAGTCTGCAGAGCGACTTTCATGTGAGTGCCACATGGATTTCGGCGAAGTCGCTCTCGGATGACTTTGATGTTCGCAGGCGTCCTCACAGAGCGTGGCCGACCACTCCTTTGGCGATCTTACAGAGAACTTGTCTCTTTGTACCGCTGTATTGTGTAATAGACGAAGTTACGGCTTACAGGAAAAACTTTTCAGCTCGCGGAAAATTTGCATCGGTTTTTTTCCCACCTTAAATAGTGAAATGACAGTTGCACGTTATTGTTTCGTTCCCTCCATCTCGAGAAAATAGTAGTAAAAGTTAACATTTCAAATTCAAAATCAGTAAAAAAAAATAACAACAGAAATATTTTATTTTTTCAGTAAAAAGTTTGTCTCAAAACTTATGAACACACAAGGTATAATGCAAGACAACCAAAGAGTAAAGTATATAAGACAACTTTACTGACTATAGAACTTCAAAACCATAGATCTTTTACCTGAGTTCAACACTTAATACAAAATCTACAATATTTACATTAAGATAAAAAACATTATAATCTATGTACAAAAAAGATATTCTTAATACTCGTTTTGAACATAGAAATCTTTTGTTTTTCGCTGATACAAACATGACATCAACATATTTAGGTGATATCTGAGGAAAGGCATATTTTTATGGGCATATTAAAATTTAAATGGGTCCACCTTGGCCCATTGAGCTGTCGAATAAAAAAAGATTTTTTTAAATCTATTCATAATGGGAGGAATCATAAACTATAAACACACAATCGAATTGAGAATCTCCTCCTTTTTTTAATTACATTGAATAACTACATTATACGCATGCGACATAAGATGTAATATCATTTACACGGGCGAAACCGCGGCAAAACAGCTAGGTAATTATGAACTATTTTTTTTATTTAATATTCCACAACATTTAGTTGATTGAGAGCTGAAAATTCAATGCCATGAGGCACTTCTAAATGTAATTACTGAACACAGGATGTCTGTTATAACAATTTCGACCGTTATCATAAAAAAAATCTATATTCATATCGCATCGCTGTGTCGAGACAAAATTATGTCTATATATGAATAGTATCTCATTAACTACTTTTTTATATAAATAATTATAGAATAATAATAGATCCTCAGTTACGCCATCTATATACCTTAATTGTGTACATTTAGTTTTTGTGATATTTACCTTGTGGTTAATATACCTTCTATAGTTAGATTTAAAATGTTTATGGCAATTAGAATGCAATGTTATTTTGTATATTTTGGTAGAATGATCATGTACACGAGAAACAAGAGCGGTCCCAATATGCTGCCTTAAGAGACAGAACCCTATGGTAACGGTTTTCGATGACGTTTGCTGTCTAGATCTATATTTGCATATCATATATTTAAATCAATGATCTTTTGCTTGAAGATAAAATATTTCTGTAAATACAATAATTACGTATATAGTCACGAATTATTGCTCTGCGAAAGAAAATAGCTTCGCCTCGGTTGCAATGTGATGTGCAAGTGACCAGGTATCTGGAAAGACATTAGTAACTTTCCAAATTAAATTATTGGAAATACGAATCTAATTTATTTTTGAAGATGGATCTCTCGTGTTTGTATTTAACAGCAACCGTAGCGACATCTAGTTTGATTTCAGGAACTAATGTTTTTTTTTCTAATACTTCCTCATTTCCCACAGACGCCCTCTTATAATTCCCTTGCTCATTGAACAAGGCCCACTGGGTCGGCGAAAAAAGAACAAGAACCTTGAGGATTTTTATTATTTTTTAAGTTGCTTCACTTTCAGCATGAATTGAAAGGAAACTTAACAAGAAAAATATTATTTTATGGTAAAACAGAACAACATACCGATTACCAATATGAAGATATGTATTTTATTAGGTATTATGATTTACATTGGCGGGCATTATCGTTCGGTCATTTAAGAAAATTTTCGTTTGAGCATGTTTAAACGTTAAGCTAAAGCTAAAATGCTGCAATACAAACGAATGCATCGGCAGTGGCGCCTCTGTCTGGCAAATCTGATGGAATAGCTACTCAAGAGATTGTGGATAAAAAATCCCGAAGTAAGGAAGCAAGTTGTGCTATGATTACAGATGCTGCTCAGGATAAATCTGTTATTGATGTACTAGATGATGTTGATACTGTTGTCCCGAATATAGCGGATCGAGCTACTTGTCCTACAAAGTTATAGATAACAATTATGTGACACCCTGTTAGGGTAAAAATGAATCTGTACTTACCTAATGATGTGATCCGTCAAAAATAAATCAGCTACTTATACACTATTCATATGTCTACTTTAAAAAAAAACTAATGTCACTATATAGTTGGATCAAGAGCATCGTAACGTAGCGTTAAACGTTTGATTACTATGTTTGTTTGTTTTAAAATAATCGAGTAATGGTTTTAAGAGCGTCCTTCTTCTTCTTCGTCAAAAATTAAAAGAGATAGATCTAGGGAATCCCCGATTAGAGAAAAACACATTGTTTCTGTACGGTCGGAAAGTCGGGGATTCCTGAGAAATTAAACCGATTGAACACTACGTTCCATTCTAATGCTGCCAACTTAACAATCTACCTAAATTTAGGGAAAATTACAAGTAAGTAGGCCGGGTCGGCGAAAAAAAGACAAGTAACTGATTTGTAGTATGTAGTAGTAACTGATTGTAATTGAATTGCAGTTATAGGGCGCCGAAGAAATTTCGCCCAATGCGCTAGTAGTGCTAAAACCGGCACCGAGTACAATGGCAAAATGCAAATCCAAATCCATAAGAAATAGGCCGAATAATAAACATAAGAGATTTATTATTCGGCCTAAATAATTAAGATAATTAAAAGTAAAAGTTAAAAATTAAATATCGTGTTTTTTTTTGTTTGTGAGTCACGTAACTTGAAACTCTACCCACCATTGTGTGATGTCACTATGGCGACTGTTGTCAGATTAGTCATAAAGATATGCCTATTAATTATAAATCGAATTCCTAGATGGCGGTGTTCTTAGCTCAATTATATCTTTTTATTTCGGAATCCATCGTTAGATGGCAATGTTCTTGTTTTATTGACATCTTTCAATCTTCTACTCTATGCATCTGTTTTGTGTACATAACACAATGAGGTCATGAATATGACGGACAGCATTTTCGCGAGTATAAAAGTTTAAATTTTGATATAATTTTAAGGCAAGTAAAAATGTTTATTTTTCCGAAATATTTGTTTTATGGCTTTTTTAAATTAAAATAAACATTTACAAGTATTATAAAACTACACTATGAGTACACTACACTATTGTCCTGCACATTTTTTGCATTGATAAGATGCTGAATAGACTTCTAAAAGGTTCAGCTATAAATGTATAAGTGCTGCTCAAATCTTATAACTTTTCAAATAAGTATTTTTATTCAGGAATCATGTTTTTGATGTGAGATATATATTTATATGGAATAATTAATTATTGAAACTTGAGTAACTATAAATAATTATTTCTTTCCATTATTCTATTACTAGATTACCGTCAGCAGGTTTGCTGGCATGGTCCTTCTATGGGATTCTTCGCATGGGATTCTATATATACAAAACTTCCTTTTGAATTACTCTATATATTGATTAAAAACCAACATTTGAATCCATTGTCTAGTTTAAAAGATCTCAGTTTAAAGACAGTAAGAAGCTTTTTTATTGTATGTATAAATGAATTTTTATATAAAAAAGCAATTGTACTCATTAGCATTTAACTACTCTACGAACCCTTGGTGCACGGACAATGTTAGTGATTGAAACTCTAGCATACAGATAAAGTCCTTATTATTTTTCAATAAAATAATGAAAAAACTAAAATGAACATTATAAATTAAAAAGAAAAGAAAATAACTTGGTTATTTTGTTTGTAAGATCATTGGATGTCCATGTTAATCATGTAACTTTTAAATTAATGTAATAATTGATAGGAACATACTTTTGCCTGCATAATTTAAATTTATAACCAACCTGTGTGCAACATCTCATCAACATTTCTATGTGAATTCACCAAGGAGGTCTGTTCCTGTGCCAAATAGTCCACCGTTATAGCCGTGTGATCATGACCAAAACGTCTACTCAAAAGTTGCTCTCTGTCAGCTCTCTCTTGTTCCCTTCTCTGCCTTTTGTTTTGAGCGTTTGTTAATGATGCCTGTGAAATGTAGTTTTGTGATGTTGCAGTAATATAATAATGTAAATATTTATTTGTGTATAAAATCTGACCTTCTATATTTATTTAATAGTTGATATTTAAGGAAATACTGGGTGCATGATGTTGTTATCCAATTATCAGTACATAATACAATATTATTTTTTGTTTAAAAAGACTGTATTTTGATAGTTGATATTCATTTGATCGAGTTCGGATTGAGTGATAATCAGGATCAGATTTGTAACATGAGAACAGGTCACAACAAAATTAATGAAATAAGGCAACTTTTCTAAATGAAAAGTGCTTAAAAAATCCACTTGGACCCTGGCACCCTGAGATCATTCAAGCATTTTTCATTAAAAATATTTTACAGTATGGCATTCTCAATGCGAAATTGATCAAATATATGTCTAATATATGTCTATATATGTATCAAATAATATTGATATGGACGTTGTATAATAAGGCAACTTTTTGTGCTACTCTTGTATTTTGTTTTTGTTTTATAATGTATTATAGTTTATCCTATTGGAAGTGCTAAGATGAATGGGTTAGAATGTGAGTAAGCAAATTATTCTTTCCAGTCTGTACACATAAAACTTTATTCAAAGTATAAAAGTAACTATGTTAACTAGGTGTAGAATTACGATCAATTTATACTGTATTACCTGTATATGCTTATTGTCGTATTTCAATTGATCCACTCTCATTTTAGCCATTGGTCTTTGATTAATGGGAGTTTTAAATACAAATATGTCAAGTTTCTCACAATTCCTGTAGTTTTAGAGAAAAGGAAAATATGTAAGTAAATGTCACACAAATTAAAAAAGGTAAATAATTTATATTCAGAGTAAATTCAAATAAAATACAACCTGAATACTTACGCGTTAATTGCATTAATTTTTGATTGGATAGCATTCTCAATTTCGTCACTATTAGCTGCTTCTTTCTCTAACTTAAGAAATAAATCAGTAGCTTCTTGTAGTAATTGATTCGTTTGATGGTATAAAGTTTCCATTTTTCTGTAAAAAGCTACAAAATAACAACGAAAATATGCACAAGTTGTTTCTACTTTGAGAAATTCTGTCTATAAAGTTGAAATTCCAGTGACAAAATCCTCAAAATGTATGAAAACCTTAACTATGAACGTACGACACGCAGTAAATGTCAATTTGACGTGGCGAGTGACGAATATCTATGCTTGAAATGAGGAAGTATTTAAAAAAAAAACATTAGTTCCCTAAATCAAACTAGATGTCGCTACGGTACTTTCTTGATCTCTAATAACCCTTCCGGTTTTCTTTCATGTATAAAAGTAAATTCATTTTCAAAACTTCATAAACAATTCATATTCTATTAATTAACAGTCTCTTTAATAAACTATAATTAACAGTCATTTCCGTTCCTATTAATTAACATATTAAAAAACTGAAGAAAAGTTCGAAACTGAGATTATAATACAAATACGAAAAAGTACAAATACAATATGAGTTGTTTATTGAATTTTAAAACAAATTTACTTTTAAACATGAAAGAAAACCGCAAAGGTTGTCATGGAGAAATCAAGAACGTACCGTAGCGACATCTAGTTAGATTTTGAGAACTAATGTATTTTTTTAATACTTCCTCATACATGAATGAGATCCAATATTAGGTAGGCGCCAGACGTATCTACAAAGTTTGAGCGAACATCTAGTTATTATTTAAGTGAAGTTACGAGTCTGCTAGATTTGCTTTAAGTAGTTTGTGGTTACATTTGTCACGAAGACGACTGATAAAACGGACTACTATAAAGCACGAAGAAACAATTATTTTGTTTTATTTTTCAGATTCCTTATTGATGGTTCTTTTTAACATCATTACTTTAGTACACTAAAACAACAATACAACACAAAAAAAGGATATAACATTTTTTTTTAAAGTGTCTTAATTATAAGTATACTAGACCAAAGATTTTCTTATTGGTGAATTTGTGCTTACCTTCTTTCACAAATCCGTCTTCTATGGTTTTCTATTATCTGACTGACGGACTAAATCGAATCTTTTTTTTAACCCATTCGTTATACCTATTGGCTAACAGCACTTATAATATTAAAAATTCATATTTGTCATTAATTAAAAGGGTGTTTTTTGCAACGACTTCTTTGTTTTTTTGTAATGAATATGGGCGACTCTGGCCACATTTTTTTAATAAATGTGATGTTAGCCAATTTTGATTTCTGGCCCTTATATTTATAATGTGTTCATAACACATACATGTCTCCTAAGGGATTTTCATCACAACCTTTTGCTCTGATCCAGAACCACTATCTATCAAATTAAATTAGTCAATATAAACACCAGATTACAATAAAAAACACATTTATTTTTGTTACAATTAAGTGCCATGGATAAATTACATAATACAGGTGTCACAAAATCATCATGTTAATCACAATAGAAAATTTAAGATAAGATTTTGACTATGAATCAGACTAAAAATACTTTAGTCTGATTCATAGTCAAAATCTGTTTCTAAATATTCTACACCTGATAACAATGACAAGGAATCATCAGAGTCACTCTCTTCACTACTGTCTGCACCAACAGATATAATAAATTTTTCAAGTTCGTTTTCAACAATGCCATCTTTTAATTTGTAATCATTTTCGACATTTAAAACATGATCAGTGTATTTCTTCCAGTCACTAGGGGTAATTAAGTTAAAACACTCTATTATTAAGTTTTCCATTTCCTTTCCTGGTATTCCAATGTTTCTGCTTGCAATTTTTCTTTTTGCTTGACTCCAAACCATCTCTATTGGGTTTAAGTCACAATGATACGGTGGCAGCAATAAAAGTTCATGATTATGTTCTTTTAAAATCTCTTCAGCTTCATATACAGGCAATGTTTTCTTATCATTAACCAAACACATTAACTCTGCCTTTGTCTGATATTCCTCAAAATGTATTCCATTATTTACAAGCCATTTACGGATATCTGCTTTGGTATTAGACATTATAGGCGGTTTATTGATTATGAGTGTAATAAAAATGACTTAATCTTTATTTCTTTTATTAATGTATATTTAAAAAAAAAATCTGTAAACGTGTATAGCTTGCTTGAAATTTTATTGTCTTGTTTGTTTATAAAACTGAATAACATCATAGCGGCTACTGATTCGCCTATGAAAAACACAGACTGAAAATTAGAAAACTTTAAATTGAATTTATTTATTCTTTTATTATTTTATGAACTAAAACTAACATTTTAGACAATTCAAATTTTAGATTTTTTTCTCGTATTGAGTAAAACACCTTATTCAAGTAGGTCCATGGACGTTGTACGTTGTACTAATATAACAGGACTTATAATTCTGAAAAATTGTCATAACGAAAATGAATTTTAATAATATTAATTAAAGTATACTTTTCATTGTTCCAATGAGAATTACCAGTGCTAAAACTCTTAATGGATGAAACAAATCCACCCAGAATTAAACAACAAGTGGTGCTAAAACACAGGTATTCTTAAGGGATGAAATCAATCTACTCAGTAATTCGTACTGGGACAACATGGTCGTCCTAAAACGTTTCGAAAAAAAAAGACCACCCATCTTATTACCGGCCTTTGCGATCGTAACTTAATTTCCATTGCCGCAGATTAATCACGCTATCCACTACACCATCAAGCTATTCACTTGTTTATATAGAAGGCATATTGTCATATTTTTTTTTGTCAAATTTATTTTATTTTGATGACCCGTGCATGTGAGATTACGCGACTGATTTCGCTCCTCCAGTACAGTACAATTAACAGCACATCAGATTATACAAATCTGTCCATTTGTTTTTGATTATAGAATTTGAAATGAGGCACATCTTTCGTTTAATAATATTGTATTTAACATATTTACATAGAATGTTTATCGTATTGTTCTTGGTCCATTGTTTAATCCATGTAGAAAAAATTGGTAATTTAAAATTCTTTGGTTGAATGTATTTATATCGTGTTATGGTCTCCTACGTGAAGTTTAGAAGAAGAAGAAGAAGAGTTTGAAATCGGTACCAGAAATTTGACATGTTGTGTTTGCCTGCACTCGTAGCATTACAAACTCAAGAAATGTTTGTCACTTTTCACGACTGCGCCCAAACGTTATCTCACTGTAGGCTCGTCCTCATATGCAGCTGCGTATATATGCAAAGATTGACACAATGGAAAATTCAAAACAGTCTCGCAAATGCCCGTCTACGTATGTATTTGAGCACATGTCTGACACGGCTTTAGCTCATGCGTGCTGTGTGCGTGACTATCGCTAACGAATCGCTCGTGAATGTGGGGCGGGCATAACTGCAAGCAAAGAGTAAAGTTGACCGACTGCAAGGAAAAAGTTGGCAACACTTATTATTATTTTGTGAATTTTAAAAAGTTAGGTGTGACACATTAAAAAAATCAAAACTTTCATCTTATTTTGTGCTTTCGTGATTTTCATCGGAAATTCTCTGTGATTAGTGTAACTTTAGTGTTTTTCCAGTGGTAAAAAACCGAGGTCTTAATAAAGATGGGTGCCTCTTGTCAAGCTTGTCTTACGAGAGTGCCCCATGCTACTCTCATTGCTACGATTATGTGCTGTTTGGGCGTGGGAGTGTTCTGTGGAACTATGTACAGAGGTTCTGCCCTTTCTATACGGATGTTTGATGAAGTATTCCACTTCAGACTAATATGGATCGAAGCCCTACAAATGATATTTATCGTTGGAAGCGCATGTATGGCAGCTTTGGGATTCATGCTGCTGTGTTTAGGTTGCTTAACAACAGGTGCTACAAGACAAAAAGTCTACAGAGCTTGGAGAGCCAGAGTTGGCGGAAGAATATCTTGCGCAATCTTTATGATAATTACTTATATTCTGACATTTGTATGGATTTTACTGCTTGGATTTTTAGTGATAACGACATTTCTCTTTACTATATTTTGGAAGTTATGTTCCAAACCTGACAATATCAAACTCTTGACTTGTATTGATTTCACACAATTCGATTTCATGTTCCCAGCATCTGTTCGACAGGAAGACATGAAAATATGTGAAGCTCAAAGAATGAAACTGTTTTGCAAAGATTATGTTGAAAAAGCAGAGTTTATGTTCATACTGGCTATGGTGTCATGCATACTTGTTATATTGAGTTTGGTTCACTATTTGATGTGTCTATCTGCTAACTATGCACACATAAGAGACCATGAGAAATTTCAAGAACTCCAGGAACTACAGTACCTCACTAACCCTGATTTTCATGCTTCAAAAGACCGTTTCTAGTATATGGCCCGTGCGCCTTTATTGCGCTCACTGGAAGCCACAACTAAAATGTGACCAGTTAAAATTATTGTACTGTTCAATGACCAAAAAAGTGTTCTGTCAACATTTTTTAAAAAGACTGATGCCCATTGTTTTGGGTTCATCTCGATGATAGTTTATGATTGAGAAATAAATACATATCTTTTTGTTCTATTAGAAAACAAAACTTATTAAAAACTGCTACAGACATTTTTTTCTGTTCTATATAAGTAATTTGTTTTATTTAGCAGTATCATCTGTTGTGCATTTTTATTCCTGCTGTTTTAAGAAATGAAACCTTTTCTAATAATATTCATCTGTAGCAGTTTCAAGTAATGCAATTTTATAAATTATTATGATTATTTAACATTCCTGTAGGCAATTTTATAGGTACAAAATTATGTTTAATTGATGCTTATAAATTATTTGATAATAATGTAAGCATTATGACTATTATGTTATCCATCCGTTAGTTTATATTTACTCCAAATTAGTGTACATACAAATGTATTGATTCTATGACTGTTGATAAAACCAAACATTGATTTCTATAATACTTTATGTATTTCATTAGATTTGTATCAGTGTAATCTGTTACATCCATTATTGACGTGTGTAAGTTAGCTATTAAGAATTTTGAAAACATTTGATGTCAATTTTGTAAATTTTTAAACATGGTTTAAATAAGATGCATTTTGTATTATATTGTAAGAAATATATTCTCTCTGTTTGGCAATTGTGCTATACTCTTGCTATAAGGACAGTTGATTACCAGAGTCGACTGATTAACAAATTGATTGAAGAAAAATTAATTGATTTGGATATTTGACTTGATGTAAATGGTGATGACCAACAGACTGTCTTATGTCATTTCATCATCATTGTTCATAGACAAAATAATGTGTCTTATATGAATACACCATTATGTGATTGATGTTCAAATTTTTGTATATTAATAATAACTGAGAAAAGGCTCTTTATTTTTTACATAATATTTATATCTCACTGCCCATTTCATAGTACTAGTGCATGTGCTTATTGTACATTACATTCGGGGCATGCTTAATCAACAAAAGGAATAACTCAAAAATTGGCAATTTAACATTAAAGTTATAGTGGCTTATAATTTTATTACTAATTTTTGAGTAATTTCTCTTTTATGATTAAACATGACTGTGATATAGGTATGTATAAGATACATTTATAAGGGTAAGTATAACTTTAAATGTTAAAATAATGTATGCATGTGCTTCCTATAAGATTAGGTAAGTACTCTCTGTATCTGGCAGTGTGGGGCAGTTTATAATTTTAATATCTAGCACACATCTATATATTAAATTAGTCTTTAAAAACACAAATGTACTAAATAGAGTAAGTTTTGTATTAATAAATGTTCATTTTTAAGTAACGAAAAGTGCTATTAATTTATTCACTTGACTAGTTTTAATATGAAATATTAAGTACTGATAAATTATCTACGACTATGATTCGACTACTGTGATGACCATCATAGCAATAGAATACTGTAGATTACTTAGCCTTATTAGTGATAAACAGTTTTTAGTATAACAACAATTTAATATCTGCTATTTTCATAATGTGGGCGTTATTATTATGAAAATAGGGTGGGCCTAAACTTTGCAGTCTATGTTGACTATAAAAGGGTGCATCCCAAAACTCACTTTCATTTGAGTTGATTTCAATCTAATTAAACTTTTATCTTTATTATTATATATAAAGTAGGAATATTACAATTATACTTAGTTAATTTACAAAAATAGGTACCAACTTAAATTACTCCCCTGTTGCCGAAATAGGAAAAGACATCCTGTATTCCAGCATACAGCGCCCTAAAACCTCAGGGCTTCGGTGCTATGACGTTAGTAACTTAGGTACCTTTATCCATTTTCTTTCACACTAACACACACTCGCAAACACACATGCATGCACACACTTTCAGTTTTTTTTTCAGCTAATCTAATTAATGAGATAGATATATAATTTTCAGAGGCACTGAAAGTGTTTCTACGCATGAATTTTAAATGAAATTACAGATAAAAGTTAACAAGGCACTTCTAAAATATACCACTTATTTTGCATTTTCGCACGTAATTATACTCTTATTCTTACGAAAATTGGTAAATATGTGAGCAACTTTGTAGTCGAGTGCTTTATGGGATCTCTTACTGTATTCGCATCACACGCCCCAGACAGGCCGAGAACGTGCATTTCCTTGTCTCTACTTGATTGATTTTGTCTCCTTTTCTCTTTAAACCTAGATTCGTCATCTCTTATATACATTTTCATACAAACTATGATGTGATTAAACTGCTTATCCAGTAGAATAGGTCATGTCAGAGGTCGGCAACCATGTGAGACGGAAGAGCCAAAAGCTAGAATTCACAAAATATCTCAGTTTCTTAAGTGCCACTAAATGATTTTTTTTTAATATCATACATTTGTTTGGGATTTTATATAAAAAAAAAAGATTTTGAATATTTGTATCTCAATCGTAGTCTGAATATCTCAATAGTTTTTATTACAACACAAAGTTAGGCCTTCCAACTTGCCTCGTTTTCCTTTTAACAGTCTAAAGGAATATTACTGATATAAATTTCGTTGACGTCATAAGTAAGACCAATTATGGAAGTTTCTGCTAATAGAGAGTTCAACGTGAATTACGCTTATTATCTCATGACGTACCTACATACGTAATTCTTAGTAGATACAGAGTTTAAAGATCGCTTTAACTCTGTAGTTGTTCTTAAACATGTCATTAGCGGAAACTATCTTGCAAATTGTATCTAAACAACTCAATTATTGTTAGCCAGTTAAGTACATCTCTATCTTGCAGTAACAGTCACGTGAAAAAGCCTTTTTTCTTCAATAAAACTTAATAGATCAAATTTATATTTTTATCTTAAGCAAACACTTCATGCTGTATTTATTATAATTAAAGTTAAGACTACCTACTTGATAGTTTAATCGTTTTTCTTATCCTTTCGTTCAATTAGAGTTTAACAATTTTCTCGTTAACCATGGATTAATTCGGTTTGAATATGGTCTAATACAGTATCTAAAGGATTGCTTAAAAGTAATTTGATGTATCTGTGATAAAATCTCCACTCCATAGACCGTTTGGGATGCTGGGTAGTACCCAAAAAAATCTAAATTTTCTTCTAATTTTAATGATAATTGATATTTTTTTAATCATTATTAATTAAAACTTGTTCAATATATAGACAATAAAATACTATGCATTTTTATCTAAGAGGGGTTTTAATAAATCTTTTAGAATAAAAGTTACGAGGAAATGAAATTTTGACTATATAAAGGGAATTAGGAAGGATCCAAGGAAATTATAATCTTGCATATTATTTTTCTAGAGACAAAATTTTGTTACTAAATTAACAAAAAAGTGCAGATATATCAACTATAATAAAATAAAAATCTTCCTGACATATTTGCTGGTATATAAAAAATACCAAATATAAATGTAGGCATTGAACTAAGATCATATGTTTCTGACTTCATTTTGCCTTAAGCTAAGTTATAAATTCATAATAGATTCTAAGATCATCATTATCATATCAGCCAGAAAATGTTAAATGCTACACTGCTGGATAAAGGCCTCCCGCAAAAATCGCCACAACCAGTGACCGCGCGTGGTTCAAATCAATGCTTTATTTCATATTCGGGTATTGCTTTTAACCACAAACATCTTGCATATTATATTTCTTTTCGATGATTGAAATAAAAATAAATTATCAGCAACATTATCATATATTAACTGTTGGTTATAATGATTAAATAGCAAAAACAATTAAAAGACGAGTCGCATTATCGTAAAAATTCTAAGTAATACCTTTAAATACCAAAAAAATATGTTCGCCTGGCCGGACGTTAAAAAAGATCCACTTTGCGATTTACCCTTTGTTTTGCAAAATACTTACATGCTTCTAAGGACCACAACCACTGGTCTAGTCAATGACCGTTTTCATCAAACGATTTTGGTTACTTAACCTTGAAACTTTCTAAGAATTTGTTGAAGGTTACAGTTACTTTTAATAAACTTAAAATGTAATTATTAGAGAGCACTGACTCATGACATACAGGACGACCTAATTTGGGAGACGAGGCAAATCGATATGTTACGCTATGTAGTTACTCAATAAATAAATACTACAAGTATTATTATTTACGCCGACAAAGTAGTAAGTCGAAAAAAAATATTTATACGGTACCTCCCCCATATGTAAAGTGGGGATATTTTTTTCATCTTGCCCATAGTGTAGGGCATCATTTCAAAATATTGTAGGTGTTGGAAGGCTATTTCTCCATTTAGCAAACCGTTTGTGACTTGTTAAGATTTAAAGTGCTAATTTTCTATAGACTCAACAGTCTAGTATCCCTCCCACTACCAACTAAACGGTCATTGGTAAAAATTTAAACATTACGGCAGTAGTACCTATATATGACAAAATTAAATGGAAATCACACTTAAGTTGACTTTACAAGTTTACGAGTAATTATCGACCAATTGTATTAATTTCGAAAATTTCGAACAACTTCATAGAAAACAATAAACGTTATTTTTTATACTTTTTTTATGGATAACGTTACAAAACCCTTCATACGTGAGTGCGACTCAAAACTTAGGAATGAAATGCCCCAAATTATCAATAATAGTATATACTATACGTAGTAATCGTAATACTAATGAAAAATTACTTAAGAAATTATTGAATATAAATAAATTAGAATAACGCAACGAGTAGATACCAGCAATACCTACTTATTCTAAAAAGAAGCAAATCAAAAGATGTAGGTATATACTTTATGATCAACATCAGAGTTTAAAAGGTTCTTAGTCTCTGACCTCTGTTGAACTTATTATTTGTTAAATAAGTATTTATATGTCTGCTAACTATGTTACCACAACTTTGCCCGCGTATGTTGTAGCTTCTTGTAGGTGAAAGAATTTTCATGATTGAACAAAAGAACAAAGAAACTTTACCGCTTGATAATATTAAAATTTTATTTTTAGTTATACTTAGTTTGGCCATAAATACTGAAAGAGTTAAAAATAAACAAAATAATACTTTTGAATTTCGAATCTGTAATTATTTATTCTTATTGTCGCGCCAATTTATTATAAAATATTTTGTGACATTAAAATGGAGTGATAAAGGGCACCGAATCGCTGTGATTTCATTACATACAGTAGGTATGGAGCCAAAAACGATTTAAAAACCCCCCATACTCTTGGTATTAGTCAAGTGTTTGTGTACCGGCCTATTGATAGGAATAATAAAATCTCTGTTTCTGACAGAAAAAGATCTGTCCGTCCACGTAGTGTTCGTACGAAAAAGACGATCAAAGCAGTAAAAGAAAGAATTCGAAAAAATCCTGTCTGAGAGCAAAATATTTTATCTGGGGAGATGAAGATAGCAACTAGAACCGTGTCGGGATTTTAAAAAGTATAGGGTAGACAAGACAATACAAATACAAGGAGGTTACAGAAATTTCTTGCTTACATTTTTATAATACTATAAATATTTAACTAGACACATTTTTATAATATTATAAATATTATAGAGCTAGATATTATAAATATTTGACCATCGACCCTGTGACCGGCCCTTTTTAAGTATTTTAAGTTCTCGTAGCAAACTGAATGCGCTAACCACTGTGCCATAAACAGAGTTCCTACCTTGTTACATGTCTATACTTATCTATTATCTCTTAATATTATAAAAATTGGTAAAGTTTCTAACGTTTTTGTTTGTTTGTTAAGGGTAATTTTCGAAAAACCTGAACCGTTCAAAAAAATTCTTCCACTAGCTTCAAAGCTACATCAGAGGGTGACAGCCTATAGGTAATGTATACAAAGTCGCAGCAAATAACTGCTTATTTTTAAATGAGAAACGACGACGTCCGTGACAGAGTGGCTCGCACGCCTTTAAGGTGCCATCTCTGAAGTTCTATTCACTATAGGGTAAATGTAAAAAAAACTTTCCTATTTTGTCTCGAATCTGGGTGGGGTGGTACCGTCGTTTGTTCATATTTTTAAAATACAAATACTTTTTAATTTGGCTGCCAAGCAACATATGTGTTGTAGTTTATAAAATAATAATCTAAATCTTTACACAGATAAGTAGGAAGCGCCTGCATGACATGAAAAATGGTGCCTTTTTCCGCATAACCACGAGGTAAAAGAAAGTGTAGGCCACCGGTCATCCTTGCGATTCCGATGATAGTCTCCTTAATTATTTCCTTGATACTGAACGACGTTACATTCTACTATAGATAAAAGAACAGGTAGGTATTTAATCCTTAAGAGGATTCCGTACCTAAAGGGTAAAACCCTATTATTGAAACTCCGCTGTCGGTCTATCAATCCCTCTGTCTGTCAGTTACCAGACTGTATCTTATGATCCGTGTTTGTTAGACATTCAAATTTACACTGATACCGAAAATTTTCACTGTAATAAAATAAATATTTAAGGGAGCTC